ACAGGAAGCAGAAGGGAGAGGGGGAAACACATGCTGAGGGGGAAGAAGGGGCATGAGGGTGGTGTGGACTCAGAGGGGACCCCCTGAGCACAGAGGCGGGGATCCTGGGGGAGCCTCGGGGCAGGCAGCAAGAGGCAGAGTGCGGAGAGAAGTGGGAGAAGGCAGAAAATAACACAGAAATAGAGACGTTAGGAATAGACAGGAGAGAGAAAGAGAGAGAAAGATATGATGTTTCCATGGCCTGGGCCCTGAAGACTTGGCTGGCTTCCTCTCACATCCCCTCCCCCTCGCCTGCTCCACTGGGCTTCCCTGGCTCCTCTCTGTTCCTGGAACGTGCCAAGCGCCTTCCTGATGCGGGGCCTTGTACATGCTGTTCTTGCCTGTGAGGCACTCCCCTCCCCTCTGCGCCCCACACAGCCATCGGCCCGGTTAACTCTTGCTCACCCTTTGCAGCTCAGCGCACTGCCTCTCCCGGGAGCCCTTCCCAGCTCCTGGTGGAGAGCCTGTTCCATCCCGCTCACTGCTACGTCGTTTACAGGGCCGAGTGGGACATGAAAACAAGGAGCGCTGTGATCAAAAACTGTCATGAGTTTTGGGAAGGGAACGGCAGAGCGTTTAACCAGGCTCGGAGCTCTGGTGACCAGGGATGGCAAGGGTCACGCACCCATGAAGCTGGCCCTCGGGACTCCTTGTACTGGTCCCTCTTTCCCTCGTTACAAATTTCCTTGTGCGATTATTTACTTAAAGTTTGTCTATTCCCACGAGTCTAGGAACTCCCCGAGAGCCGGGCCGGTGTAGATTTTATACACAACTCCTGGCGCAGCGCTCAGGAAATATTCTAGGATGAATGAACGGAAAGGGGTGGGGAGAAGACAGAGTGGGACGAGGAGGGAAGCATGGAAAGATGGGGCAAAGCAGAGGGGGACAGGAGAGAGAAGGCACAGGCGAGTGAGTGGGAAACCGCCGAGGAGGAGGCTAGGGGGCAGACGAAGAGAGCCTGGGGAGGGGAGACGGTGGTACTCACAGCTGGTCGAAGGGCTGTCGGTGCCATCCGGTTCTGCCCTGGGGAAGTTGTGCCCGGAACGGGCCGAGAGCAGCGCCGACTCGATGGCCCGCTCATGGGCGGTGAGCACAATGGCGGGGCCCCGGCCCCCGGCTCCGGGGCCAGATAGAGACTGCTGCATGAAGGCCAGCTTGTCCTTGGTCCTCCGCTTCATGTCATCCCATCTGTGCTTAATGTCCTTGACGGAGCGGGGGACCTGGCTCACGGAGGTGATTTTCTGAGCTATGCCTTCCCAAATCTTGTCCCTGTCAGCATGGGAGAGCCGCATGGTCTCCCTCCCAAAGAGGACAGCTTCATGGTGGGTCACCTCGGTGACCAGAATGTCCAGCTCCTCCTTGGAGAACTTGGGCTTCCGCTTACGATCGGCCACGGGTGCCACATTCCTTGGGTGCAATATCCCACAAAGCACAATTGGGTAAATTGACCGTCAACGTGGGTGGTCCTCCTCCTTCCTAATGTCGGCCCCCAGCTGGGGAGCCCGGAGGCACACCGGGGCGCCCTCTCCAGCTCACCACCACTAAACCCTCCTCCTGCCGAGAGGCCCTTGCTCTACTCCTCGGAAGGAGGGAAGCCACAAGGCGCACGCAGGTGGGAGCACTGGGCTGAGCCCACCTCTGGTTCCGGGCCTCACTGCTCAGCTGTGCCGGCCAGAGCTGTCACTCAGCCTCTCCCAGGCTCCTCTCCTCTGGAAAAGGGAATGACAACCACACCAACCTAGGGGATTCCTCCAAGGGGGGCACAGGCACTGGGGTATAAAGGAGCTTAAAGCCCTGAACAGGAATGAAGGATGCCTTATTGGAGTTAGGATGAGGCCACTGCTTCTATCCATGGCTTGGAGGAAGAATAATTAAACAGGGAAACTGTTCACAGTGGCCTTCCATGGTGTGCGGCCTTGCTGGTGACGCTCAGAATTGGGGTACGGTCACAGAGAGCTTATTCTGTCCCATGGCTCTCGTCTCCGTCCCCTGCACCCAAGTCCCCACCAAGTCCCGACGCCCCTCCCACGAGAGCGCTGGCAGGCAGCTGCTCCTTCTGGATGTGGGTGCCTGTGGCTTTCTGGCAGCTCCTGGGTAGGATGTGAAGAGCCTATGAGCACCCACTGGATGGCGAGTTCCATTTCGATGGAGACCAGGAGTGACTTTGGCCTCCATCTGCAAAGAGCAGCCCGGGGCCCTGGGCAAGGGGACAGCGTCGCCCTTCCCCATTCTGGCCTGGCACTTGCTTGGGCTTTGAACTCAGTCTGCACAGTGTGGTTCTGTCTACCCTTTAACTAGTGCCAAAAGGTCCTTCCAACACAAGAACTCAGGGTGAGGAGGGAGACCTGGAACCTGATCGCTTCTCTGACTGCTGCCGAAGCTTCAGCGAGAGGCCGGAGCACAAAGACCCTTGAGGCTGGGTCTTGTCCTTGGACAGACCTCCTCTGCACACTGTTTCTGTAAAGCATGATTGGTGTTCCTAGGGCCACCTCCCAGGGCTGCCAGGAGGATTGCATGCAGGGGGCTTCAGTCTCAACACTGTTGGCATTTGGGGCCGAAAATGTCTTTGTTTGTGGGGGAGGGGTGCCCTGGGCAGTATAGGAGGTTAATCAGCATCCGTGGCTTCTGCCCCAAGAGAACTCAGCAGCATCCACCCTAGAGTTTGACAGCCAAACATGCCTGAAGGGACTGCCAATACCCCCAGGGGCCAAACAGCACTGGGGTGGCCCATCGGTTTCATGACTGTAGAGCAGCCAGCATAGGGCTGTCTTAGAGTCAGCGCTCACTCTGCGGGCACCTAGTCTCTTCCCGGCCCACTGCTTATTTGAAAGAACTCCGTGAGATCCTCAGAAGACCCGAGGCAGGGACCATGCATGGGACGGTGTCTGCAGATAGATGGCAGCTGCACACTAAGGGGGAAGGAAGCTCCCAGGATGAACTGGCTTCTTCCTCCAACTACTACTAGAGGGGCATCTCCATGGCAACAAACCACACACTGAGCCCCACCAACTCCTGGAGGCTTCAATGCGATGGGGACCCCACAGATGTGACTACCCTTGTGTATCCTGGGTCAGAATGAGGCCTGGAGCACAAACAGGACAGATCTCACACCGCAAGGCAGTGGTGGCAGAAGCTGTCCACAGGGCTCAGGAAGCCATGCTGTTGTGCACAAGCAGGAAGAACACTAGCCCACAAGTCCTGGGTCACCCACTGACCCCGTGACCTTGTTCTGCCATTGACCACATGACCTTGCCTTGCTCTGGGCCTCAGGTTACCCAGGAAGCTTAAAAACACCAGTGTCCTGGGCTCAATCCCAGCCCAAGTAAGACAGACTCTCTGGGGGGGCCAAGTGGTCATTCACTTAGCTCAAATGATGAACCCCATTTTGGAACTATGGTAAAGCCTGGTTCCCCAGCTGCAAGATCAAAGATGGGTGGGGAAGTGGGACAGAATCAGCTCCACCCGACAAAATTTCTAGTGCAGGAAGTCCTGAACTAGACACACTCTCAGACACACTCTCCTTTGCTCGCCGTCAGCCCCTGCAGCAACGGGAACAGGAGCCCAGACCAGGGGCCTGCGCCACGCAGCCCTCTGATGCCCCCCCCCCCCCCCCCGACGTGTGGTTCCCATGGCTGTGCCTTTGCTCACAGTGCCTTCAAACTAGAGCCTGGCCCCTTCAAAGGCTCCGTCCAAAGGCCCCTCCTCTTTCATCCGGGCCCCGCAGCACATGGTCCATGCCTCCGCTCCATCACTGTTTCAGAAAAAGCAGTGTGCGTGGTGGAAGGTGTGTCCTGGGAGAGCAGGGCACCCGGTACAGGCTCTGGCTCCCTGTAGGTGCTCAGAAGTGGGTGATAAGTTGCATGTGCTTAGCTGACCTGCATCCAGTGGTCAGGGAGAAGGAAGTCAGGAGCGTGGGCTGCCTTCCTGGAGCCAATTTCAGGGCGTAGCAGAGGCTCAAGTGGGAGCACAGGGACACAGTGAAGCCACAGAGAAGGGGACCGGAGACAATGTCACACTCTCTCCACCTCCAACCAATGACTCCTCATTTGCTTGGAAAGCCTCATTGTTTGAATAACAGCCAACTTCCTCTTAGGAAGTCCCAAACTGCCCTTCCTCCAAGCACAACCTCTCAGCCCCCACAGAACTGCCCAGACGCCCACAGAGGGCCCGGTCCATGGTGTGGCTGTAGCCTGGGTCCAGCCACACGAGGCCTCCTTTCCCTCCCAACCCAGATCCAAACCTCCATCACCACTCCCAAGTCCCAGAGAGCAACAAGGCAAGTCAGTCCAATAGGGCAACCAGGCAAGTCAGACCTCTCATACCCATCCACAGACCCCTCGGGTGGGGCTCCGGCACACAGCACAGACCAGCAGCACAGAACTAAAAGGGGAGCCTTCAGCGTTCCCGCTCAGCTCAGCCACCTCTGGGTGACCCTGACCAGTCGCCTGTTCTTCTTGGCTGGCCATAAAGGATGTTTCTAGCGCAAACTTCTGTCCCAAACACCAGACCATAGTAAAACCACTCTTGGAAGTACTCATGCCTGGGCTGCAAACACCATTGAAACCTATGCCGGAAGCCTCCTTCTCCATGGAGCCATTGAGATTGTGGCTGCCCTGGGTTAGTCCTGCGCCACTCCAGTAGGATCTGTCTGGTGAGAGATGGCACAGTCCTGGGTGGGGGGAATGCTGCCAGGAGCCAGGGGCCTGTGTACTCCAGGCCATCTCTAGGGGTCCCCATACCCCGCCCATCTGGCCACAGCCCTCCTCCAGAGCCCCCTGATGGAAGACTCGGAGAGCTAGAGGGTCATCTAGAGCTAGACACATCTCAAACCCTGCAAACAGCAGTCCCTGCTTTGAAATTGTCGTCCCCACCACTGGAAACCCCACAGGCCCAGCATCTTTCTTGTCTCGTTCCAGAGTCCAGACAAGTCTCCTGGGAAGTCAGCAGAGAGCAGGACTCACCTCATCCAGTTGGCTTTCGTCTCGTCTGACCCATCTATGGACTTGTAGCGGTTGTTTTTGTCCACAATCTGGAAGACAGAGAAGAAGGCTCATTCTACAGGGGCTCTCACATTCTTGGGCTCCTCCCCAAACCAAGACCCAGGGCCTGCTTTCATCTGCTACCATCCAGAAACTTCCTTTCCCCTCCTGGCACAACGCCCCACTGCTGCAGGGCCAAAACCCAGGCCTGGGCCAGCAGCAGTAAAATCCAACCCTCCCTCTCTCTCTCTCTCTCTCTCTCTCTCTCTCTCTCTCTCTCTCTCTCTTCTTCTCCTCTCTCTTTCTAAAATACATATTTTGGAATCAAGTCATTCATCAGATACTAGAGGCCTGGTGCATGAAAATTCAAGCACTGGAGGAGGGGGTCCCTCAACCCAGCCTGCCCCCTCTCACAATCCAGGAGCCCTCAGGGGTGACCTGGAAATCAGGGGTAGGCAACGCCCCCATCACACCTCTGCTGCTGCCACTGCCAGCAGTGCAGCCCTTTGCCAGCCCTGGTTACCTGAGCCTCATTTTTCTGCTGAGAGTAAACCTTTATACTGGTTGGGTCTGCTGCCTACAACCTCTTTCCCCCCATTCTTAAAACAACAATAATCACGAAATATTTCAAGTATCCAGAAACTATAAAGAATAATGCAGCTGATAACCTGGTACCCACCAGCTCTAGCCAAGGAAAATTACCACCACCCAAATCTGTCCAGGACCTCTCCCTCCTCTGGCTTTAAGAAAATACCAAGATATAATTGAAGAATATCACTGCCCCTAACTCATTCTCTTTCTCTCCCTCCCTCCAAGGGTAACTCCCACCTTAAAGCTGGTAGGGAGCTTCCCATTTTCACTCTACGAGGACTGTACTAAAAGCAATGGACAGAACTGCTCTGTGTGTCTGTAAAGGTCACAAAAATGGCTCCAATGAAACATATCCTCTGCCCCCTTTGCCCACCAAACTTTGCATAGCTGGTCCTTCTCATCCTTTGGGTTCCTGCCATCTAGAATCTCTTCCTGACCTAAACTGAAAGGGGCTTGTCCCCCCCACCATACCCTGACCTTCACACACCTACAGACTCAGCTTTTTAACTATGACATTGTACTATTACATCTTTCCCCCCAAAAATAAATTTTATTGATTTTTTACAGAGAGGAAGGGAGAGGGATAGAGGGTTAGAAACATCAAGGAGAGAGAAACATTGATCAGTTGCCTCCTACACACTCCCTACTGGGGATGTGCCTGCAACCAACATACATGCCCTTGACCAGAATCGAACCTGGGACCCTTCAGTCCGCAGACCAATGCTCTATCCACTGAGCCAAACCGGTGAGGGCACATCTTGTTAGATGCCTACTTACAAGGTGCATTTTTGCTATTGATGGTGTTTATCTACTTATCAATTTGGTAAAGGACTGTCTCCCTCACTAGACCATAAGCTCACGAAGGCAAAGCACACGGTGACTGTGTTCATGAGGGCACATGGTAGAATATTGGTTGAGTGAATGAATTATTGGGTAAAGTGTCTTTTAAATAAAATCAAGTTAAAGAAAAAAATTTGAAGAATGTTACTATTTTAGTAAAAAGGAAATGATGGTTGAGCTAGCGCTGGCTTGTACTGCTTATGAGAGACGACTGTAAAATATTCTGGAGTTTCACGAACCAGTCATTAAACCCAGCCATTATTAAAAATTAAATGACCTAAACTTACAATTCAGTAAGTCATATTTTTTTAAAGGTAGTAAACTCTCAAAGCTTAGCACTTACCTAACAATTTTCCTACAGCTTACTATGATCTATGTTCTTGAAGGTATTGGCACCTACTGTACTGTATAACAGAAATACTATTAATAGTTGCCATTGTTATTTCTCTTCCCCCTACTCCTGCAGTGCCTTTATCTTGGCAGCTTGAAATGGCATCAGCCACGGTAGGAGCATTTACGTAAACCCTGGAAATCGGGACATATAATCCCACCACCACCCACCAGCAGGTTATTAAGCATTTATCTGCACCCCATTATGCCTCTGTTGATATGTGCACAGAAAGGCTGAGAGATTCATTTCAAACTCTCAACTCTACCTCTAGAGTGAAGGAACGAGGTAAGGGTGATGAGGATTTCGCTTTGTCTATTCATGAGACTACTAGAGGCCCAGTGAATGAATTCATGCACCAGTGGGGTCCCTTGGCCTGGCCTGCCGAAATTGGCTCTCCAATATCCCACAAAGGGTCCCAGATTGTGAGAAGGCACAGGATGGGCAGAAGGATACTACTGGTGCATGATCAGGGCTAGGGAGAGACGTGGGAGGTTGGCCAGCCAGGGAGGTCTGGGGAGAGAGCTCCAGGGCATGTCCATCCCATCTCACTCAGTCCTGATCAGCCAGAAGACCATAGCAGCAAGCTAACCTACCAGTTAGGGCATCTGTCCCCTAGTGGTCCTAGCAACTGGTTAACTGGTCAACTGTCTACCTCCTGGTGGTCAGTGCACGTCATAGTGAGCAGTTGAGCAGCCTTAGCATATCATTAGCATATTACACTTTGATTGGTTGAATGGCCAATATATAAAATATACTGGTTGACCGGATACTTAGCATAATAGGCTTTTATTATATAGGACTAGAGGCCTGGTGCATGAAAATTCCTGCACTTTGGGGGTACCTCAGCCTGGCCTGCACCCTCTAGCAGTCCAGGACCCCTCAGGGGATGTCCACCTGCCAGCTTAGGCCTACTCCCCAGGGGATTGGGCCTAAGCTGGCAGTCAGACATCCCTCTGGCAGCCTGGGAGCCCTTGGGGGGGGGGTGTCTGACTGCCGCCTTAGGCCCACTCCCCATCTAAGCCACAGTCAGACATCCTCAGCACTGCAAGGAGGTGGGAAAGGCTTGTGGCTGAGCAGAGCTCCCCCAGTGGGAGTGCACTGTCCACCAGGGAGCAGCTCCTGCATTGAGTGTCTGCCCCAGGTGGTCAATGTGCATCATAGCTACTGGTCATTCATCCATTAGCGTCAATTTGCATATTAATCTTTTATTGTATAGGATGCTTCCTTGTGGTTTAAAATTCTCAGACAAGAGAAAAACATGCAGCTCAGTCCCTCCCCAGCAGTCTCTCCAGACGATGCCCTAGTCTTCAAGGAACCTTCTCCTAGAATCTCATAGAACCCCATCTTTATCCTAATCCTAATCACCCTATATCATCATTTTCTGATTACTCATCTCTCTCCTGGGGCAAATGAGAAGCATCTGTAGACCTGGAAGCAAAGAGCAGAAATACCTAGCGGGTGATACAAGCCATGTAGCCAGAGGAACTGGCTAGAACCTGAGCCTCCCCACTTACAGGTGAGCGGCCTCAGGCAGCTGACTTCACTGGCCATGCCTCAGTTTCCCCATCTATAAAATGGAGTAAGAACTAATCTCACAGCATTGCTATAATGGCTGATGTAGAAGGCACTCAACAAATGGTTACTATTAGTATTGTGATCAAGATTGTAATTATTAATGAAGGGAACAAATGTCTGTTATGATTAATTCTGAGCAATTGGATGTCTGTAGATCAATATTGGGATGTTGTAATCGGCCTTTTTTGCAGCGTCAACTGGCAGAGAGGCCTGAATGGGAGTTGTGCGAGACCTGGGAACAGCCTACAACCTCTGTTGCTGGGTTCAGATCCAGAGATTAACTGAGGGATGTTTCTTGGCTTATCTTTCCCACCAAGCAGGATTTTTCTCAAATCAAGCATTCATTTATTCAACAAATATCACTGAGGAAGCAGCCACAGATCTTAGGATGAAATGGTGATCCAGGCAGAGAAGGTCTTTGCTCTCACAAAACTCACTGTGCTATCACCTGGTCAGTACTATGGAATATGGGAACTCTAAACTACAGCCCTGTACCTGGGAGTCAGTTGAGGACCTTCTTGGGTATGTGGAATCTAAGCTGAGGTCTAAATATTTTTAATATATTTTTATTGATTTCAGAGAGAAAGGGACAGGGAGAGAGAGAGAAACATCAATGACGAGAGACAATCATTGATTGGCTGTCTCCTGTACACCCCCTACTGGGGATTGAGCCTGAAACCCGGGCATGTGCCTGTGACTGGTATCGAATCAGGGACCCTTCAGTCCACAGGCCAACACTCTATCCACTGTGCCAAACCAGCCAGGGCGAAGCTGAGATCTTGAAGAAGAGGAAGGCCAGGTTGTTCTAGCAAAGGGAGCAGTGACTGCAGGATCACACAGGGCCTGTAGATCATGTCATTTGTCAGGGATGAGCCCACGCTACCCTAAGTAGAAATCAGGATATGGTCCTCCAGTTCTAGGTTGAGATGCTTTTGGCCACCCAGGACCAGATGCTTGGGACCGAGCCCCCAGAAGCCTGGTTCTCCAGAGTCCTCCCTTTTACTATCCTTGGAGTTCAACTCCTTGGACCCTCTGAGCCTGGTCATTCTGAGACCAGCCCATGCTTTGAGAACTAAGATGTGAGAAGGACTTTCACACCTGGACCTGCTCAGAGAAGGATGATCAGCATGGTAATGGGATCCCTTAGCCTAAAGAAGAAGAGGCTAGAGAAAGCAGAGCCATCAACATTGTAGGAAGAACTGCCACACTGGGGAGGCAGGACCAGGACCAGCATGCACTTAGAAGATGCTGATATTGTGAGGCTGTGAATTTAAGCAGTAGCTGGATGGCCCTCTTTCTCAGGCTGAAGGAAAGATTCATCCACTGAGTGCAAATTTGGCCTAAATGACCTCTAAAAGTCTGTCTGGCACTAAGACTGCGTGTGGACAGATCCTCAGAAAATAATATGAAAGCACAAGTTTCAGCCCCCTGGGTCAAGCATGATCCATGTGGACCATGATGGTCATCCTGGCCATGGAATCATTAGTGAAGGCATCAATAATAAAACATCAACAGCTGCCATTCATAGCATTCTTACAACTATATGAAGAAGCTACTATTATCATCCCCATTTTATAGATTAGAAAACTGAGGTTCAGGGTTGCTAGGTAACTTGCCTGACACCACAAAGGAAATGCATGGGGAAACTGGTGT